TGCAGGCAGGACACAGGACAAAGCACTCGGGACAAAATGTATGTGAAATGCTTTAAAACAGCAATGTTTTGCTATGTAATAATCGTTTTAAAAAAATTTCATTTTTTAAAATTTTCAAATTTGCCGCCGGTTGCGGCGCCCGTACGTCCCGATGTCACAGGGACCAACACGGGACCAGATGCCGGCATTGGCTGGAGGAGATGGCCGGGGACGCTGCAGGGGATGCATCACGGGAGTGAAGGACAAGGTAAGCGCTGCAGTGAATCCCTGTGCAACGCTGCATGGTAAGCCCGAGTGTAGCTCGGGGTTACCGCTTTTGGTACTGAAACTCTACTCCGTGCTACACTCGGGAATACCGCTAGGGAGGTTAAACCCATGATTGTCATGCAATGCATGCCAATAGCAACATGGTAGTACAGCAATTAGAGGTTTAAATCAGGTGTGAGGAGGTGACACTGAGTGACATTGTACCTGGTGATTTTTCCCATGTTGTTCAGGTAGATCTCCACCTCTTTAAGTTTGCCTACCTCTGGTATATACAGTAAATAGCTACACTGGTTCAAAGCTGGACCAACTATTTAAAAAAAATACCATGCCTAGAATACATCCTAAAAGCAACTGTGCAGAGAGGTGGGGTGGTTGAGTGTAGAGCAGTAGTGCTTTGATATAATAAATGGAGTGACTGTGGTAGCGGACTCTCAACTTCTCCATATGAATGTAGGACCAAAGAGGGCCAAGGGTGAGAATCTAAGAAACCTTCCAGTTTCTTGCACCCCACATGGGGTGATGGACTTTTCTATGGAAGGCTCCCAGATTGTGGCACTCAGATGATCCCTGGCTAGCAACAAATGACATCAATGAGACGAGGTGCAGAACTGAGAAACAAGATCAGGGCCGGAGGCAGACAGGGAATCCAACAACCAAGCAAAGGTTGCGTTGGACAGCAGGCAAGAATTGTGGTCAGAGGCAAGCCAGGTTGTTTACAGGAATCATAAACTGGATCAGGAGATCAAGAGCACAATCACGGAAATAGGAGACTGGGAACTGAGTGTCAGAGAGAAAAGGTTTTTACATAGGTATCTTGCTGGTGAACGCCATGGGGTAGATTTACTAAAATTGGTTTACTCAGAATCTGGTGCAGCTGTACATGGTAGCCAATCAACTTTTAATTTCAGCTTGTTCAGTTAAGCTTTGGCAATAAAACCTGGAAGCTGATTGGTTTCTATGCAGAGCTGCACCAGATTTTGCACCCTTCAGTTTTAGTAAATAAACCCGCATGTATCAAGCATACCAGCACGTATCAAGACAATCATCTACAGGCACAACAGTTCATTCCTATAAGGTAGCAAGGGCTCTTTCAGACAGGCAGTAATGCTTACTACCCTCTGAAAAGCAACCCCTTGGGGGGGGGGACGGTTGCTTAGCAACATGTTACACCGTATACCACGGGTGTCAAACTGGTGGCCCTCCAGCTGTTGCCAAACTACAAGTCCCATGAGGCATTGCAAGATTGACAGCTACAAGCATGACTCCCAAAGGCAGAGGCATGATGGGACTTGTAGTTTTGCAACAACTGGGGGGCCGCCAGTTTGACACCCCTGCCCTATACCCATGTTTCTAAAGGTGAAGTTAGACTTTAAACCTTATCTGTGGAACATTCAAGAATGACGCCTGTAAAGTATAGGTGAGGCTACAACAGGACTTGGATCTGCGGCAGAAGCCATAACAACTCCATTCTTTTAGATAACTGCAGTGTAGCTATAGCCTTATTCAGCCTTTTTCACTTTATTTCCAGACAAACAGCTAAATATGCAGTTGAAATACACATAATAACTGCTTTAATATTTGAAAATCGATTCAGCTTCTTTTGTGATTCACGCCACACAAGTTAAACATTAGAAAATATTTTGTTATCTCCATATATTTATTTCCGTCCTGATATTTTTGTCAATACAATTGTGAACTGACAAAAATGCTTATAAAAAAATGATAAATGATAATCTAATGATTTTTACATACTTGAGTTAATATCAAAGACATTGTATTTTTTTACCATTATCTTAACTTTTGCACAAAATCATGTATCCAAATCTCTATATACAGATAGGTTTTTTTTTTTTCGGTTTTTATTTGTAGAGCATAACATGATACGGAACAATAAATGACCACAATGTTTAAATATTTTAAAGCATAACCCATAAAATATAAACTCTTTCTTCTAGTTTCGGTTTGAGTGAGGAAGAACATTCATCCTGCCTCAAATGCAGACCCCCACCAGTGCCGCCATTCACAGGCTCCCTCGTAGCCTCCCAATATTTGCAATTCTGAATCCCTTCTGTCTTTAATAAACACATAACTAAGCAGCTTACTGTCAAATGTTTTTGCCAGCATCAAAGGACACTTATGATATGAGGCCACTTAATGAATGGAAGCTAATCAAAAGGCACTCATAATATGAGGCCAAAAAATTAATAGAAGCTAATTAACTTACAAATGTGATTTTGGATTGTTGGGTGCCATCTAGGAAAATATGAGGAGAAAATGTAAATTTTCCAGGAAAGATTTAAAGCAGGACTTCAGCCATGGATGCCAAGAGTTAGAGCCTTATAGTAGCCATCACCTTGCTGTACAGTGTATTCATTTAACACAAACATTAACGTGATATTAAATGTTTGATATTAAATGTTAGCTAACCCCCTATGACTACTTGCCTTCACACGAAACATGTCAGGGAGAGGCTACAGCGGTGTGACGTCACGCCGACTGGCGCCATGAGGGCCCCGGCGGCCATTTGCATACTCATATGGGTCAGTATTCTTCCTTGCTCCTGCCTGTATCTATTTGGAATAAACACTCCTTGTCATAAGGATATCACACTATCTGGCCTCCTTTGTTCTTTGAGCTCCAGTGGGATTCAGATCATCAAACAAATTTTAATATTGCACAAAGATAATCCAAGTAAATACAAAATTCAGTTTTTAAATAGTGATTTCATTCATTAAGGGAAAAAGCTGTCCAAACCTGCCTGGCCCTGTGTGAAAAAGTAATTGCTCCCTATCCCCCCTGCTTCATAACCTGCTTGTGCTTCAGCTTGAGATCACAAACTGATGGCCGGACATTCTCCTTCAGGATTTTCTGGTTTACACGTGTTTAGGCACATTCAGCATTTTTTCCATTCTTCAGCTCTGTTTCCAAAACGTGCTGGCAGTGCAGTTCTTTTTGCCTGTAAACACTCCTAAAATGCCTGGAAATACGGCAACGTGTGCATGGACATATGAACTGACAGACAGGGGCATTTACAGGCAGAAAAAAAAAATTGCCATTAAAAGCAGTGTTTTTTTTTGCCTTGTGTGCATGATGCCTTATACTGGACCGTGATTTATAGATGTGGGGAAAAAAAACAGATAGCCAGTTTTGAAAGTGTGTCTGATATACAGTAAATGATCCTACTTGAACTTGGGATCTGTATAATTCTGAAGAAGCAGCTTGGATAAGCCACAAAACATCTTTAACCGTTTCAATACCGTGCAATTTTACACCTTCCCGCCCAGGCCATTTTTCAGGTTTCAGTGCTCTCACACTTTGAATGACAATTGCGCGGTCATACAACACTGTACCCAAACTAAAATTTTATATTTTCTTCACACAACTAGAGCTTTCTTTTGGTGGTATTTAATCACCGCGGGGGTTTTTATTTTTTGCTAAATTAACAAAAAAAGTCCAAAAATTTTGAAAAAAAAAAAAAAAACACATTTTTGTTTGTTTCTGTTATAAAAGTTTACAAATAAATAATTGTTCTTCCTAAATTTAGGCCGAGATGTATTCTGCTACATGTCTTTGGTGAAAATAACCCAAATTAGGATGTATTATTTAGTTTGTAGGAAAGTTATAGAGTTCACAAACTATGGTATAGATCTGAATATTGATCAGTCCTGAAGTACTGACAGCCAATCTAATTTCTTGAGGTCCAAGAATGTCAGAATAGTACAGATATCCCCAAATGACCCCTTTTTGCAGAGTAGACAGTCCGACGTACTTCATAAGAGGCATGGCGAGTTTTTTGAAGTTGTATTTTTTTGTCATAATTTTTCCGAAAAAATGAAAAAAATAATTTTCACTATTTTTTTTTTTACATACTGTCACCAGTGCAGTACAGCGTCATCATATAACTGGCATGGCAGTGAACAGGGACACTGACTGGTGACAGTATGAAAAAAAAAAAATATATATATATTTTTTTAATTTTTTTTTATTTTTTTATTATATTTAATTTTTTATTACATTTTTTTTTTTTTTTTTTAAGATTTTTTTTCATATTTTACTATGACCAAAATAGTACAATGTTACCATAGTAACATTGTACTACTTTGGGGAAGTGATCAGTATTTTTTTTTTTTTTTTTTTTTACACAATTTGCTTATAGCAAAGAATTACTTTGCTATAAGCAAGCATTTACCTGAATGAAATCGATTCATTCAGCTTCTTTTTTTTTTTTTTTTTGTGCCTAGCTGTGATTTGGTCACAGCTAATCACATGACATGTGCATGTGATTAGCTGTGACCATTCACAGCTAGGCACTAGTATACAATGGATGGCATCATGAATGAAGCCATCCATGTATACAACTGTCATGTGACCTGCTGTGATTGGTCACAGCAGGTCACATGGTACCAGCAACGGGAGCAGGTACTCGGATCTGTCATCGGCCGTGTCCGAGGTGCACGGACGGCGACAGATCGCACTGCTGCGCCGCTCTGCACTAGCGCAAACGGCGCATGTGCGGGAGCACGCCAAATGGCGTGCACCCGGAATGGAGGAGCACATCTGAAGCCGCCAAACGGCCATTGGCCGGGCGGCTAATGGTTAACCACCTCCCGCCAGCCATATAGTACAATGATGGGTGCAAGATGGTTCTCTCGTTCTGGGAGGACGTCATATGACGTCCTCCCATTCTCACAGCGCATGCGCGGCTCAGGGAGTGCGCAGCGCGGCGATCGGCGGTGCTCTGTGTCCCTTGGACACAGCGGATCACTGATCACGGAAAGAGCCGAAGATGTCGTCTCGGTCATGTGATCAGCTGTGTCCAATCACAGCTGATCACATGTAAACAGGGAAATGCTGGTTATCGGCATTTCTCTCCTCCATGAGCTGTCACGCTGACAGCTCGAGAGGAGAGGAGAGCCGGTAATCGGCATCCCTCAGAGGGGACATGTACACTGATCATCAGGGCACTGATGATCAGTGTGCCCTGATGATCAGTGTGGCCCCAGCAGTGCCACCTGTCAGTGCCTTGTGTCAGTGCCTGGTGCCAGTGCCCATCAGTGCCACATATCAGTACCTACCAGTGCACATCAATGCCACATAGTCAGTGCCCATCTGAGCTGCCTTTCAGTGTCACCCATCAGTGCCAGTCAGTGCCACCTATCAATGCCAATCAGTGCCAATCAGTGCCCTATCAGTGTGCATCAGTGCCGCCTAACAGTGCCAGTCAGTGCCGCCTATCAGTGTGCTATCATGTGTATCAGTGCTGCCTTTCAGTGCCCATCAGTGATGCCTGTCAATGGCCATCAGTGCCACCTACCAGTGCCTCCTCATCAGTGCCCATCACTGCCACCTATCAGTGTCCATCAGTGCAACCTATCAGTGCCCATCAGTGCAGCCTCATTAGTGCACATCAGTGAAGGAGAAAAATCACGTATTTACAAAATTTTATAACAAAAACTAAGAAAATTTTTTTTTTTTTCAAAATTTTCAGTGCGCGATGTACTCACCCACGCCATCCCTTCTACTCTTCTCTCCTCCACGGCGCCGGCATCTCAACTGCGGGTACCAGGCTGTGACAGCTTGCAGCTTCAGAACCTGATGCCCACTGCGCATGCGCAAGTCATGCTGCACCTCCTAATTGGTCCGGCAGTCTCCTGGGACCTGTGAAAGTTCCCAGGAGACTGCAAGAGGGAGGAGGGGGACGAACTTCTGGCTCACTTCACCGCAGCAAACTGAGCCGGAAGTGGGAGTGAGTACCTGTCAAAAACAGTTATCCGCTCCCCCCCAAAAGGTGCCAAATATGGTAGTGGAGGGGGGGGGGGAGGCAAATAAGTGGAGCTTCCGCTTTTGAGTGGAACTTTGCTTTAACTGAGGCAAGTGAGGCCTGAAGTTCTTTAGATGTTAGACCAAAAAATATATACAATTCACCTTGTGAGCTACAATAGGTAAAATTGCTTATGTGAATCGCTTACACTATTCACACTACCATAAATCAATGTTAAATCAATGTGTGTTGAAACAATCCCCACGACGAAGCCACGTTACTCGGTTGCTTAACGCGTGGGGGGTTGACGTAACGACGATATATCCTACAGTGGTGTGGTAATTATATACTGGAGATATATGAGGCATATGCGGGATCAGTAATATCAAATGCAGCGCTAAGTAAGTGGTAAACCAATAAACTAATAGGTAAATGCACTGTGGAGCACTATACTAGATGGTGGTGATAACGTGAAATACAGTATAAAGTGCAATTGTGACAAATTAATAAATAAATATATAAATATAAAGTCCAAAATCAAGTAAAATTGATATAAAGTGAATTCTGTGACTCCAGTGACTGAAAGCTAATGTATATTGCACTAACCAGAAAGCGCAATAAATTGCGCATTTGAGTATGTTAAACCACTCCTGGTCATCTGGATCAGAAAGGGTAACTTAGAGGATCATCTGGTACGTGTCAGTACATGAGGTGATCAGCAGACGTTTACTCTCCAGTTCCAGAGACATCACATCCGATGGTGTGGACCAGTCATGGGCATAAAGTGATAGTCGCAGGAATCCACCTTAGGGGCTCGTAAAAAATGAGCTAGAGAAAGAATCTCTAATAGTTCAGTATTTTATTGAAAAGTATGGCACAATAGTGAAACAAAAGTATTTGCACTCACATCTGGCATGAATACAGTTTCAAAGATGGCCGTAGGCCTTCCTTGTAGCCTGTGCGGCGTGACGTCACTAGCTGGGCTCCTCTTTTACACATTTCGTGCTCTTGCACGTTTTCAAAGGGGGATCGATCGAGGCATATCCATTGTTAAATATTGGCGTTTTAAAGTGAGGTGCGCTGAAGCACTTATTGACTGAGTGTAAATATGGAAGCTGTTTTTAAGGCTAATAAATTGTTTTAAGGATAAAAAACTATGTATGGCTGACGTCCTTTGTTGATAGGATGCAGGCGGCTATAGCTACCTAGTGTCCTCCATTGCTTAGAACAGATGCAGCTTTTACCTTCTAACATGCTTAGTTGATAGGATGCAGGGGGCAATTGCTGCCTAGCGTCTTCCATTGCTCAGTACACAGGCAGCTTTTGCCTTTTAGCATACTTAGTTGCTAGGATGCAGGCGGTAATTGCTGTCTAGTGTCCTCCATTGTTTAGGACACAGACGCCTTTTGACTTTTAACATGCTCAGTTGCTAGGATGCAGGCGGCAATTGCTGTCTAGTGTCCTCCATTGTTTAGGACACAGACGCCTTTTGCCTTTTAACATGCTCAGTTGCTAGGATGCAAGTGGCGATTGCTGCCTAGCATCCTCCATTGTTTTGGAAACAGGCAGCTTTTGCTTTTTAGCATGCTCAGTTGCTAGGATGCAGGCAGTGATTACTGCCAATTGTCCTGCGCTGCTTAGGACACAGGTGGCTTTTGCCTTCTAGCGTGTTCAGTTGCTAGGACACAGGCAGCAATTTGCTGGCTAGCATCTTTCATTGCTTAGGACACAAGCGGCTTTTGCCTTCTATCGTGCTCAGTTGCTAGGACACAGGCAGCGATTTGCTGGCTAGCATCCTCCATTGCTTAGGACACAAGGGGCTTTTGCCTTCTAGCATGCTCAGTTGCTAGGATGCACACAGCAATTGCTGCCTAGCATCCTCCATTGCACAGGACACAGGCGGCTTTTACCTCCTAGCGTGCTCAGTTGCTAGCATGCTGGTGATGATTGCTGCCTAGTGTCATTCATTGCATAACACACAGGCAGCATTTGCCTTCTAGCGTGCTAATTTTCTAGAATGCATGCAGTGATTGCTGCCTAGCATTATCCTGCACATAGGCAGCTTTCTTCTCTTCTAGCATGCTCAGTTGCTATGATGCAGGTGGCCATTGCTGCTGCTAAATACGCTGCACTTTTCACAGCCATTTTTGCACCCATTTTATATAGGGATCTACTGTGTATGCTTACAGTAATTGGTTTATTTCATTTTGCCTGGGTTCACACTGATGTGGTGCGGAATTCGGAGCATTTTCTGTGCGAATTCCGTACTGCATCACAACTGCACCCCGTTCATGCGAACCGTTGCGGGTGTGTATGTTAACACTCCGAAACCGGTCCGCAAAATGCTGTGATGTGCAGAATCGCATGGCATGGGTGTGAATACCCATGCGATCTGACTCTAGTGCTGACCAAAAAATAGGGTCCTTTTTTGGTGTGGATGCGGTGCGATTTGAGCCACACAGAATGTATGGCTCCAATCACACCACACACAATTCGCATGTGATTTGCACAGGAATACGGAGCGGTTCCTGTGCAAAGCGCATGCGATATACTGCACCACATATATGTGAACCCAGCCTCACTGTAATACTACCTAGATAAAAATACACTATTACAAAGAGAATAGGACTTCTGAGCACCATCTATACAAACATACTGCTGGAAAATTCTAATAACTTTTATGAGTAAAACGTGTTAATATCGGTCATTCACCTGGATTGCTACTATACAGCTCAGAAATCTCTCTAGCTGAGGTAAAACAGCATCAATATCCAGAAATAATAAGAGCTATTCTCATTGTTTCCTCCCTCTGCTATTACAGTACGTTTCTCTCCTCAGCAAGCACGTCTGTGTAGAGGGGGAGGCTGGGCAGAAGGCGGGAAACAGAAGCCGGAAGTGTTCTACTCTCCTCACAGCTCTCTTCCCATTCAGTATGGTTCAGGAGTTCCATGTTCTACGCTGTTTCTCCTGTCACACCTTCCAGGTGCAGCAGGTACCTGAATGCTTCTTGCTCCAATGTTCTTTTATTGCTGTTTGCTTCTGATCAACTCCTCCATTCCTCTACAGGTGAAGAAGAGCAAGAAATGGGTTTGTAAACTCTGTGGGGAAAAACAGTCCCTGATAAAGGTAAGTGATTTTCCTGTGCTATGTGTTCTGATTCTGTGTATGGACTTGCTTCTTTCATGTGTGGTACTACTAAGCAGAGCATGCTCAGTCACTGTGGTCAGCCCCCCCCCCCCCCCTTTAAATTTTTTAATTTTTTTTAATTGCCAAATGATGGAGGGACCACACCAAAGCTGCGAGCCCAGCATTTGCCTTGCAATTGTGGTGCAGCCCCATTGATTTCAATGGAGAAGTATGACAGGTGGTGCTTCCTGTTGAACTCTGCAGCCTGAGTTGAACCTGTTCACACATAAACAGGCTTTAACCGCCTCCCGCCCACCATATAAGGTAATAACGGGCGCAAGGCGGTTCTCTCGTTCTGGGAGGACATCATATGACGTCCTCCCATTCTCACCGCGCATTCGCGACTTGGAGCGCGCAGCGCGGCGATCGGTGGTGCGCTGTGTCCCTCAGACACAGCGGATCACTGGTCAACAGAGCTGAAGATGTTGGCTTGGTCATGTGATCAGCTTTGTCCAATCACAGCTGATCACATGTAAAAAAAAGGAAACGCCGCTTATCGGCATTTCTCTCCTCACGAGCTGTCACGCTGACAGCTCGAGAGGAGGGGAGAGCTGGTAATCGGCTCTACTCAGGGGGGACATGTGCCCTGATGATCTGTGTAGCCCCAGCAGTGCCACCTGTCAGTGTCCATCAGTGGCAGCTATCAGTGCCTACCAGTGCACATCAATGCCATATATCAGTGCCCATATGAGCTGCCTTTCAGTGTTACCTATCAGTGCCAGTCAGTGTTGCCTATCAGTGCCATATATGATGCCGCCTACCAGTGCCCATCACTGCAGCCTATCAGTGCCCATCACTGCAGCCTCATTAGCGCACATCCCTGAAGGAAAAAAATCACTTATTTACAACATTCTATAACAAAACCTAAGAAACTTTTTTTTTTTCCCAAAATTTTCTGTGGTTTTTGGTTTGTTTAGCAAAAAATAAAAAACCCAGAGGTGATTAAATACCACCAAAATAAATCTCTATCTGTCTAAAAAAAAAAATGATAAAAATGTCATATGGGTAGAGTGTTGCATGACCACGCAATTGTCATTCAAAGTGTGATAGCGCTGAAAGCTGAAAATTGGTCTGGGAAGGAAGGGGGTATAAGTGCCCTGTAGGCTAGTTGTTAAAATGCTTGAAAAATTGATATGCATTACTTTCCATTGACGTGCATTTTCACATGCTCATGTGCGTTAAATTCATGTACCGTATTTTCTGGCGTATAAGACGACCCCCTACTTTTCCTGTTAAAATGTAGTGTTTGGGCTATACTCGCCGTATAAGA